ACAAAACAAAACAAACAAAAAAAAAACTACATTCAGAATATAAAAAACCTCTCTTGTAATTCAAGGGAGGGCTCATTTACTTTTACTTTGAAAAAAAATTACCAGGCATTGCAAGAGGCACAAAGGAGAAGAGGAGAAAAGCATCAGTCAGGAATGGACATTTTTAGACTAGATTGCTATCTAGTCTAAAAGTACTTAGAATCTTCATTACGCTTAAAAATACGTGTATAGTCCAAACTAGAGTGAAAAGCACTTCTTATAAGGGGCTACTAGGTATCCCGCGATGTACTACTTCGACTACTTCACTTCAGTCTTACATAAGATGTCACTGGTGCACAGACACTGTGCTGGCTCTCTGAACAGCTGCCTGTGGCTTGCACCTACTGAGATCTGAAAAGGCTTCTTTGAAATGGAAAGAATGGAAAGAATCCCATTGACTTAGTGGAAAGGACACCAGGCCTGACGTGAACACAGATTTGCTTCACAGTCTAACTTTGTCAGCACAGCCTTGCTCTCCCAGAAGCCAGGGCAGTTTTGCCAATGACCTCAACAGAAGTTGCACTTCAGTTCTACAAGTCTGTGCTAAAGCAAAAAAGGTTTGGTAAATCAAATACATTCTTTTTCACTGTATCTACAATAAATTACCCATCACAAGTAAAGCATTAGGATTTCAAATAATCAACTCTTTTAGCTAAGATAAGCTATTCTTGCATAAGAATAGTTACAACATTTGATTCTCTCTTTACTCTGCTCTACTCTTCTGTATTTATAAATTTCTCTCCTTTCTTTTTATCCTGTTTTCTTGTTTGCACTTACTCAGTTATCAACCTGTTTTAAATACAAGCAGAACAAGAACGTGAGATGAACCAGGAAGGGAAAAAGCAGGGGAGACTGACCTCTAGGAACAGGAACACAGACTAAATTCTGTCGTTTACACAAAACAAGGCTCAGGGGAATTCTTCTTCATGCAAGCTCAAAAGGTAGAATATTCAAAACATAACGAGTAGCTTTTTCTTGTATACCTCGTCACCTACCACAAACGATGGTTCACCATCGTAAGTAGGATTCAAAGCAAGCAGCTTCTGTTATTTCGGATGGTATCTGAAAACTCTCAAACCTGTGTGACAGCTGAGTCAGCACCATTACTGAAGAAGCTACCATGACATTACGATGGTAACATTGTTCCTATTCTTAGTTTCTTCATTATTGCTTTTCCATTCAATGCCTGTGTTTGCCTCATTGCATTTTTTTTTTTTTGGTCTTTACAGCACCGTCACCTGCTGATGCAGCTAGTGCTCTAGCCCTACTGAGACTTTTTGCGCAGCTGCCAGTTCTAACTTGAGCTGTGTGGCCAAGTCCAGGTTGCTAATCCAGAGAATGACGTCTCTGTCTTGTGCTTCCATGCCCAGAAGCTTGCTGTCTGCGGTGTGGTGTAAAATTGCAAGCTATCTATTACTGCCAGAAGTCAATACTTCATTCAGTTAAAGGTTTTGTCGCATTTTTTAATGCTCAGAATATGACTAAAATAATTGTGCATTAATTCAGTTCTGTAGGATAGCTATTACACAGCAATTAAATACCATTTATAAAATCAAAGTTTCTAGTTGAAGTTGCCACTTGAAGTTTAGCAGACAGAAATACAAGTTGTTTCACTAGAACATTTTTGGAGTTTTCCTGAAAATGTTCTTGAAGGTCAAGTGAAATCAGCTACTCTTTTTTTTTTTTAAATTAGTTTTTGACTTTTTCAAAAACAGACTTGAAATGAACATATCGTTTCTGCACATGCATTCATTTAACTTATGAACCTACACCACCAGGAATCTCTGAAGTTATGTTTATTTACTGATTGCAAACTCTGTAACTTTCAGCCCCATTACAAGCACTGAACTCCAGTGTTTCTTTTTAGTGGCTATACAGCCATCACAAAATGGGTTATTTCATGCTGATAGAAGGCCCAAATCCCCTAAGATTAAACATTTTCTACATTTACAACAATTAATTAAGGGGAATAAAATGAATATTTTTATTGACAAATTAAAACAACTCTTAGCAATTGCTAAATTAAAGAAAAACATTGATTTCCTTTATTAATTTTATATGAAATACAGAAGTACTTATTTAAAAAACTTGGACTGACTGTTTCAAATTTGGGGCTACATGAAATTACAAACTGAAGATAACTTTACTCTCCTTAGTACAACTCATTTCTAATAAGAAAAGCATACCGCCACACTGCCTTCACTTTCCTGAGAATTCCAGGTGCTCAACACCTATGAAAATCAAGCAGGTTTTATTGAGGAGCTTAAATTTGGACTTAGGAACCTAATTTTAGTCTCTGAAGTTGGAATTTAATTTAATGTGACACTATATTCCTGTACAGGCCAAGCTTGGCCTCATGTTCTTTAAATAAAACACCTTCAATTTTACTTGAAAGGATGATACCTAAATGAAAGTAGAAGGTTATTTTGTCTCCATTGGTTCTGTAGCTAGAACAATTTGCATGACCATTTATCCCATTCATACTAATTCATGACAAAATATGTGGCATATTTGTAACATGTATCAAGAACAGATTAGTAATATAAAGTACTGGACAGAGACCAAAAGCTGCCAACTTACTCTCCTTAAAATACGATCTTAGAGGTATTTGGTGAACTTTTAAGGCCACAGTATGTGATATGGCCGAAAGGACACTTACTGATATACTGAAATGCACAAAATACTACAGCAGTACATTTTGTACCCTTTTTGAAATTTACTAGTGCATTGCCATAAACAAACTTTTTTGTAACAGTTTAAGTATGGTTGTGATTTAGCTAGGAACAAAACCTAAGCACCATCTGTATGCGCCACAAGGTGTGCTCAAGAGGTATTCATGAAAACCTTTGAAAATAATCTTTTTTTTTGGCAGCATTTATGAGAATACATGAGGAACTCATACAGAAAAAATGAACAATGTGCACTGGATAGCTCCACTGTTCTTCTATTTTTGACAGACCATGACTGCTTTGAGAAACCTGCCAGAGAAGGGAACAAGCATCTTTGGTCACAGGCTTGCCAAGCTGTTAAAGTGGACTTTAAAGTTGCTGGGGGAAGAGAATCTCTGTTCACCCAACTCCTCCCAGTTTGATGCCAGTGTCAGCAATAGATGCCCAGAACTTGGATGAAGGTCATGGGTCAGCAGGAGAGCACCTGCAGAGCAGCACAAGGAAATTCCAGCCACTCCAGGCAGTAAGGCATCTTCATCAGGGGTCCAACTTTAAATGCCTCTACGCAAATGTACGTAGCATGGGGAATAAACAAGAGGAGTTAAGAAATGTATGCATACCTGCAAAGTTGTGACCTCACTGGCATTACAGAGATGTGGTGGGATGGCTCCTGTGACTGGAGTGTTGGAATGGAAGGATACAGGCTCTTCAGGAAGGACAGGCAGGGGAAACAAGGAGGAGGCGTTGCCCTCTATGTCAGTGTGCATGGAGCCCTGCCTAGGGATGGATGAGGAGCTGACAGAGCATGTATGGGTCAGAACTAAAGGGAGGGCAGAGACCGGGACAATATAGCTGGAGTCTATTACAAGACACCTGACCAGGAAGAATGAGCTGATGAGATCCTCTACAGACAGACAGATAGAATCAGCCTCACATTTACAAGCCTTGACCCTCATGGGGGCCTTCAACCAACCCAGTATCTGTAGAGGGACAAAGCACCAGGATACAGGCAACCCAGGAGGTTTCAGGAGTGCACTGATGACAACTGCAAGTGACAGAGGAGCCCAGGAGGAGAGGTGCTATGCTAGACCTCGCTCTCACTGACAACGAGGGGCTGGTAGGGAACGTGAAGCTCAAGGGCAGCCTTAGCTGCAGTGACCATGAAATGATGAAGTTTAGGATCTTGAGGGCAGCAGGGAGGGTTCTCAGTAAGCTCACTACCCTGGACTTGAGAGCAGACTTTGGCTTCTTCAAGGATCTCCTTGGCAGAGTACCATGGGACAAACCCCTAAGTGGAAGAGGGGCCCACGAGAGATGGTTAACATTGAAGGATCACCTCCTCCGAGCTGCAGAGCGATGCATCCCAACAAAGAGGAAGTGAGACAAAAACGCCAAGAGGCCTGCATGGTTGAACAAGGAGTTCCTGTGTAAACTCAAACACAAAAGGGAAGCCCAAAGGTAGCCTGGGAGGAATACAGAGAAATTGTCTGAGCAACCAGGGATCAGGTTAGGAAAGATAGTGTCCTTTTAGAAATAAATTTGGCCAGGGACATCAAGAGCAGCAAGAAATGCTTCTAGAAGCACGTCAGTGATAAAAGGAAGACTAGGGAAACTGTGGGCCCTCTCCAGAAGGAAACATGAAACCTGGTTATCCAGGATATGGAGAAGGCTGAGGTACTCAATTCTTTTTGCCTCAGTCTTTGCCAGCAAGAGCTCTAACCACATAGTCCAAGCCACAGAAGGCAAAGGCAGGGACTGGGAGAATCAAGGGCCACCCACCATAGGAGAGGATTAGGTTTGAGACCATCTTAGGAATCAGAAGGTGCACAAGTTCGTGGACATGATGGGATGAATCTGTGGGTCCTGAGGGAACTGGCAGATATAAGGAAGAAATTCTCTACTCAGAGCATGCTGAGGCACTGGAACGTGTTGTACAGAGAGGCTGTGGATGCCCCATCCCTGGAATCGTTCAAGGCCACGTTGGATGGGGCTTTGGGCAGCCTGGTCTATGGGCAGGTGTCCCTACCCATGGCAGGGGTGTTGGAATTAGCTGCTCTTTAAGGTCCCTTCCAAACCAAATCATTCTATGATAATCAAAATAAATGTAATTGTGATCTTAACACGACATAAAGAACTCACACTGAACCCCAAAGCTGCTTTTTCATGAGTAGCATCTGTAGGACCAAATACTATAAAGAACGAAAAGGTACAGTTTGAAGTTTTAACAGCATTTAGTCAAGGATTGTACTATTTCACTTTGAACAAAAGAAAGAAGTTTATAGAATTACCAACCTTGAATTGTCCTCTTGAAGAAAGCCTTGCAGGCCTCACAGGAAGCCACTCCGTAGTGGTACCCTGATGCAATGTCACCACACACCAAACACAGTCTTTTGGGCATCGAGTTCAGCATATATTCACACTTGGTCTGTGAATCTTCAGCAATGGTACTGGAGCAGTCATCATACCGTTTCCTGACTGGCCCGTTGCCCCCAAGCCCTGTGGCCGAAGGGTAGAGGGGAGGTGAGTCTAGCCCGTTCTGATGTCCATTCATGGTGGAACTGTAGCTCCCGCTGGCGTCTGAGGAGCCACCAGGGCTGTGGTGGTTGATGCTGTCCGTCAGAGAGGCAGGGCTCGACGGCTCCGTCTTGATGTACGACGAACAGTTAGAATCAATGTGTCGATCTTTGCTTGACATTCTGCAGAGAAGCCTGTAGTGGGGAGAGAGAGAAAGAAGAATCTGTGTATTAAAGACAATGCTCTTTCCGGCTGCTCTGGAAGGGTTAGGGACTGCACATCATTCATTCATTAGTCAATACCTCTTGTTCTACATGAAGGTAATCAGCATAAGGGCATGACAGAGCTTTGTCAAAGCTACAGACAGGCAGTAAACAAAAACTTTAAAGAGACCAAACCCGTCTGTTGTCCCCTCTACCTGCCCTCTAGTCTATGTGTCAACTTCAAATCAGATCTAAATTCTGAACTTGTCATCCATGAGTCACAAACTTCAAATATACTATTAGATTATCACACTATTACATTTCTTCCTTTTTCCATTAGTGCCTTTCCCCCCCGACCCCCCGTAAATTCTATCATTATCAGGAACAAGTATTTCCAGGTTTGATCACATAAATGTTCTCAGCTGTATTTAATATTTGTCAGCACACTTCAATAAAACGCGTATCCATCATCTGTTCAACTGATATTGGAGAGCAAGTCTTCCACAAGCTTTTCTTTGTCTTTATTAATATTGCTTTATTATATATATATATAGCTATTTAGTAACTGAGCAGCACATCAACTGGGGACTCTAACAAATAATTAAGGCTGGACTCCATTTTCACAAAATCTAAGTGAGATGATTCATCAGCTCTGGCTGCAATTACTTTCTAGCCATTATCCTCAGACTAACCAGTAATAACTATGCCAGTATCCCATATATCTGCAGCTCTATAGGATCTGACATTTTACGCGTTTCATTCTTGGATTAAAAAAATGTATTAGAAGGAATTTTAGATACAACTTTTGTCTTTCAGAAGGTGAGATTCTGTCTTACTTCTCAGTTCTCACCTTTTCAGAATTATGTATCTGAAACAATAATAAAACATTTGATCTAGTGCTATCTAGAGGAAGAAAAAAAACTCCCTTGTCTATTCCGTCCCCAAGTTCAATGTTACTTATAAACGCATTTTAGGACAAATAAAGAACAAACATAATAATCAGAAAGCTGTGAATATGACGCTATCTTCATTTTCTACTGCTGTGATTATGAGACCACGGTTCCAAATGGCCTACCTAGCATTTTCCTGACAGTACCCTCTGAAGCTGGCAAAGTACTGAGATGCTGACAGTTATGAGCATCTCTCTAGAAATATTTTCAGTAGAAATGCAACTCCATAAGGCCATCACCTGGAGCTATAGATGAATATTTTCAAAGCAAGAACGTGAGTCAAGACAATCTGACTTAAAGTAACTTTCTCAAGTCAGTTTTAAGATCTTGTCACTTATTCACCTTTTTAACATGTTAAATAATATACATACACAAACATTTATATAAAAGTATCTATCTATCAATCTAAAAAATTCTACTTCAAGCTCTGGAATCAAATTCACCAATGGAAAACAGACAGAAGTACAGAGAGCTGGCTTCTTTTCCAGTGAGGGTAACCAAGATCAAAGCCTGACCTTTCATTTCAAGTATCTGCTTAGGGTAAGATCTACCCTAAAATCAGTGCCCATTGGTCTAATTTAGGACCTTCCAACTGTTGCAAATTTTACTGTCAAATGCTGTTGAAAATAACTATGTGTAAATTTGGGAAATGGCCAGATTGGTGTACAGAAATCCTACCCTCCAAACTTAAAATCAGTACTTATTTGAGAAGGTGGAAGGAACATGCTATCTGGTGTCAGCAAATAAACCAAGGAAATCGGAAGGTTAAAGCTGTGAAAATATCTTATTACACTGGACCACCTGCTTGTGTTGTCCTTTCCTCAAGAACTGGAGGGGGGGAAATCCCCTTGCCAGCCTGCAGTTGCGTGTGCCTTTTCTTCTGCATCTGCTGCCTTGTAGCCGTCACTGTTAATGAGTGCTGTAATTAATAGATAGCTCTCTCTTGTCTCTCTACTTGCACTCTGGGCTAAGCACTTTTCTCAAGTCAACATTTGAAAGAAAGCGGGTCGGCACTGACTTACAGCAGCTCTGCGAATTCCTTTTAATTTAGAGCACTTACACCACCACTCCACTTATTACCTTATAATTACTGGACCGCTCTCACATACATTATGATCTTAGACTAGAGTTAGAAGTTATTAGGGTACTAAAACATGGTGTCGCACTGTCTCTCTCCTCTTTTTTTGACACTGAATTTTATACAGCCATGACTAAAAATATCAATCAACTTTCACATTCCACCTACTTATTTTTTATATTATTTTTCTACACACTAACTGAGATCCTTTTATTGAATAAACAGGTACCTGGTTTTCTTTTTGTCTCCGTTCTTTTTAAACTCCTTAGATTAAGTCTCAAAATAAAGCAATAGGGGTCCATTACCTACCATCTATTGTACCCAGCTTGATGGCACACTTGTCTCTAAACCTCCCACTGCTGACTTTTTTTCGGTCTTTGAGATTTTTTTTTTTTTTTGAGATCATTATTTTTTTCAATAATGAGCTCTAACATCACCCTTCCCTTCCCAGAAAAATCATTTGCAATTAATTAGTTGTCGAAACGCATGTTGTTTTAGCCAGTGCTATAGCAGCCATCTCCCACTCCAAGCGGTCAGAACCAAAACACAACTGCAGTTCTGCATGCATGAAAACCTGATCAGCAGCGTTGCTTAGGCTGAAGCCAGTTTGCTGATGCTTCTGAAGCTGCAGTTTCTAGTGCTAACCGAGATACAGCTGCTTTTGGTCACGGCTTAAACAGCACAAACCGGATTCGTACGTACTGGCAAAGCACAAATTCAGTTAAAACATTAACCATTCCGTGGAAAAAAGAAAACAACGGCCCCTGGTTCTGAGAAAAGAAACTTTTCAACCTTCCCCCCCCCTCAAAGAAGGGGAACCAGGGTGAGGGCTGTGTACAAGCTGTGGGTGGGCACCATGCACCTACTGCTCCCATTCCTTTGCCACTGTGCCGCATCTGAAGGAAAGGAATTCAAGAGCCATCTTACGCGGATGGCAGGTGGGACCACCAGCAAATTATCATGCTGAACATTTGGAATAATGCCTAAGCTAGATCTCTGTAAAATCCCTCCCTCAGTTCCCTCCTAATTACTACTTAGCTCGTTCCACTGAAGAATTCCTAGACACCATTGCATTATAGTCTAAAACTACAGTTGGAGCTTAATTCTCTCTTCCTCTCTGTGTCTGAAATTCTACAGCTCTATTATTCAAGCCTGAAATATTCACAACTATCTATAAATTCAATTGTCAGCCGGTGGGTTTTATTCTAGACCTCACTTCAATCTAAAATTAGAGGCACTAAAATTCACATTAACTCTAAGAGGAATGTAGTGAATAAGACTTTATTTCAAAAGAACACCTTTTTGTCAGAAAGAGCTATTTTCAAAATGATGGCTTTATCTGCATTCAAAGAGAATAAGCCCAATTCCACATTGTGCTGTTAATGCAAAATTTTTAGGTCACATTGGATTAATAAAAATCTAAATTTAGTTAAGGTTTATGAATAGAAATAACATGTGTCATATAAAAACGTACAGTATTTATTTTAAAGCCTTGGTGGGGTTGTTTTTTTTTTTTCTCTTTACTATATTTTAAGTCAAATGAAAGGCACCACCATTTGTGGTGGGTTACTCTCACGTAAATTTGCTAACTACTTGGAGTTCTCGGGTAAACTTTCCTTTCAGTAACTACAGGGAAAGTAGCTAACTGGCTCTAGAAGCATTTCCGTGCCCAAACACAGAAGAAACTACGCAGGGTGCTGCAAGTTGCTAGAAATAGGTAATATATAGCACAACTCTTCATATCTGTAGTAAATTTACCTCACAACTTCTTCTTATGACTATGACCCCAAACCAGTCACTGCTGGCAGAAAGGTACAATGACAGAGCGCTTCAAAATACAACAACTGCTTTAAAATGGTCTTAAACAATACAGAATAAATTGTATGCTATGTGCTTATGAAAGGTTGAATATATTAAGAATTTATTAATGCAATCACATTCGTATTTCCATCTACCTGCCACATTGCTAATGATATTGACAGCGCTGACACTGGCTAAATCAGTATCAATATACAAATAGAGTGCAAAAATTAACCACATCTGATTACAACATATGGCTTTAAAAAAGAAAGCCTTCCTATTCAAGCCGTGAGAAGGTTTTTATATTCAATTCACGCATACAATTGGTTCAGAAAATTATTTTTCCCTCATCTCCCTTGTTATCAATACCTAAAGGAGGTCAAAAAAACAAGCAGATACTTCATAATCTGTGAGCACATTTCATGTTTGCTTTTCAAGAATGAAAAGCTCTTCTTACAGCATCATTCGCTATTTCAGAGCTGCGCTGGTGGCTTCAGTGAGAGTAGTAATTAGTCAGAATAATTAGAGTGAACACCTTTATTACAGACCAACACAAAAGCCCCCTTTTACCTGCACACAAAGTTTTCAATTCTTTTCCTGAAAAGAGAATTGCTCTATTTCCATAAATGCCAGAATAGGTTGTTATCAGTTGACGTTTTTAGTGACAGCTTCTACGTGGGAGCATCAGCAAGGCAGGTGTTATTATGCACACATAGCTGCTTTGTACATTAACAGTGCCATCCATCTGATTTTCCTCCAACACATTCCTCTAACTCACATGCGTGTAGACCAAAAACGTCTTAACTTGTTATCCTCATCCTTTAGCTACAAGAACCTATGCATAAAAGAAAGTCTTGGACTAGATTACATGGGAAGCCTATAGCAGAATCGGGAATGGAACCCAGCTCTTTGCTTTGACCATGAAGACTACATTTCCTCTCAAATACAGCGCTTATTTTTGTATCATTTCACACGTCTGCACCAAAAATCAATAGAGAGCAGTGAGACACGTTCCAGTGATTCCCCATACCTGTGCCTCTAAATGTAAGAAGAAAGGATATTAGCGTGGAAAGAAACGAAAGCATTGTTTCTTGCACTGATACCCATGACACCTCAAGACTTTCACCATGTCCTGTTGAAGACTGAGTAACAATCTCAGCTGA